GCGTAACTACATTTTCCACGTGTACTAACACCTTGTAGAGGATATACAAATTCTATTTTCCAAAAGTAAAAGGACTTTCTACTAGTGTCTTAAGCTGGTAGAGGAGGAGGGATAATCTGGCTCCTCTGTTCCCCCCCTCGGGGAGGACTGATGCATTATGGTTATTCTGTTTGCATCGAGCATGATGCGTATCATCGGGTGGAAAACCAGTCCAGCTGGTTCTTTGTGCACTGATTCCGAGTTCATGGAAAACAAAACAGTATGAAAGACTCAAAGAGTCGCAGCTTCACCTGGAAGGAGACGCTTTGGAGCGCCGGAGTGATGCTAGCTTCCCTGAATTATTCCAGGCAAAGCTGTGGGATTTTGAGAAATGTTCAGATCATGAAGTCCAAACACAACCTCTGAGCCGGCGAGTCTGGATGCTCTGTCTTCTACATTAATGAGAAGAACTTTGACTTCTGTCTGTGAAGGTTCTCAGTCATCCAGGTCATCGTGGTCAAAGGAGCTTGCAAAGAAAAGCGCCTGGACTTCTTCTCGGATGAGAGGTGAAACGTCTTCAAGCAACTTAAAGAAGTCCAGACGCTTTTCTCTGCAAACTTCTGTGAAATCAAAGCGAGTGCTGGATCATCTCTGTAGGTTCCCAGTCATCCCAGTCATGGTCTGAAGTCTGACGTACTTAAAAAAAGAAACACCTGACTTCCTTTAAGTCTGACGTTTCAAAGTGAAGACGTCTCCTGCATGAGGTGAAATCCAGCTACACTTGAGAAGCCCAGAGTCTGTGATGGAGGACGGTGCAGAGCGTGAGCAGAGAGGGCAACGTGTCTGCACCAGAGATCAGATGCTTTTCACAGACTTTTTACAGCAGTTCAGACGATTCACATGAATCCAGATCCTTTCAAGAGTGTCCAAATACTTTTGGGCTCGCTGGTGTCCTCGGGCGTCTGCTTGGTTCTGAGTGATGAGCAGCGATGTACTGGCTACTGTCGCTCTTGGATGTGGAGTTTTTCAGGCCTGTCAGCAGCACCGAGATGAAGCTTGTGTTCAGGTGTTTGTACCTCAGGTCATGTGTTTGAGTACGGAGGCTGTGAGGGGACAAAAGAGCAGACTTCACATCCAGAACAGACAGACAGGCGTTATATAAGCTGCAGTGAACTCCATCCGAGCTGAATGGAGATGATTCACTGGCATTATTTAATTACACACACACACACACACACACACACACACACACACACACACACACACACACACAATGACATCAACCTCTACAGAGAGATATAACACACACTCCTGTCTCCTGTCTCCTAGCAACCACTCCCCCTCTCTCCCCCTCTGTGTGCGTCATCAATTAAAGAGAACAGAGCCGGATGAGAGACACTGACAGAGAGTGAGACAGGGAGAGAGAGAGAGACAGCCCCCGAGTGGGTCCCGAGGAAGGAAACAGTTGGAAACCTTTGGTTTCCTGTAGGACAGCAGGACCGTGAGACCGCGGAGCCTCCGAGGACAGACCGGAAGACGCTCCCACCCTCCGCTGACACTGAGACAGACCCGCTGCCGCGCCTCCTTTGTGACCCGCGGTGGGAGAAATCCATCCTCAGAAGCTGCTGGAGCTCGCCGCTCGCGTGGGTCGGCTGTTTGAGGTCGACTCGGATAAGTGTCGGTGTGACGCACGTTTCCATGGTTACACTCACTCGGGCTCATGTGTGGGCCCACACTTGTCTGAAGCCATCACACTCGCCAACATCTAGCTTTTAGGAAAGTCCCTCTTTGTGTTGTTTCTGATTGAACCGTCAAAGGTCAAAGGTCGTATCAGGGGGGGCTGTTCCTTCAGGATACTTACAAAAGTTGCCTTTGATGTAAGCGTAGGCCACGTAAAAGCGTCTGTGTGAAACCACGAGACGTGTGCGACTGCAGGCCTGCACATTCAGGTGCGACCCGGTTGCAGCTGCAGACACGCCCCCTTGTCAGGTCTGCTCTTTAGGCCTCGCACTGAGCGGTTCTGCTGTCGGAGCTTTTGGCGAGCGGGCGGTGGATCCGTCCGAGACACTGAGGAACGCTGCAAGCTCGCACTGCAGTCACAGCGAAGCCCCGCTCGTTAATCTTCCCCTGCTTTCTGCTCCTTGACTCAAACGGGACATCGTTTCAAAATGAACTTCGTGTTTTATTTATTAAGACATGAAACCAGCGGCTGAGTCTATAAAGTCATCAGCAAAGAGTTCACTGAGCTCGGAGATCAGCTGGTGCAGAGCCTCGTTTGGCGTAGACGTCAGTACAGTCAGACTATGAAGGAGTCGCCCTCTACGAGCGCTCCAGTCGGTTGATGCTGAAACAGGACGGCGGCTCTGAGGTGTGTCGGCCCTCGGGGCCCCCACCAACCTGCTCAACATATGCTTCATTGCCCTGAAACATTCCTGTGATTCACAACAGTAAAGACACCCTGTAAAAACATCATATTTCACTGGAGGGTGACGAAAACCAAAGCGCTCAATGAAGTCAAACTACTCAAAAAGGAAAGAGTGCAGTGAAACCTTCAAACTTCAGCCCCCCCAGGGCCGGCCGCGCCCCCGCAGGCCTGAAGGGAAACATTTACTCAGCACAAACAACACGAAGCTCCACTTTGTGGGATTTCTTACAAAGTGCAGGGGGGTGAGGGTGGAGGAGGGGCGAGGGGGGTGAGGGTGGAGGAGGGGCGAGGGGGGCGTCTGCATAGTTTTGGTCAGAGTTCAGATCAGCTGTAAACTGTGGTTCAGACCATCATCATCATCATCCTCACGCCTTCAGCACAGCTTCACTGCTAACACGCTAACAGTTAGCACCGCACACGGTGGTTTCCATGGCGCCCATAAGCAGTATGTGAGCTGGTGTTGTGGTGAAAACGGAGCGCAGCTGTTTGAGTTTATGTCTCTGCCCTGGTCCGGGATCAGCGCTCGCTTCTCCCTGCAGGGTGGAGCGCCGTGCTGTTTGTGCTTCTGCCACACAATGAGCGAGGGGGTGGAGGTGCAGTCGGCGTGGGGGAGGAGGGAGAAGGGGGCTGAGGGTAAACAGAGGAAGTGCAGATTTATTTGATCACAGTTAACTGTCTCCTCATGCTGAGCCCCGCTCTGCTCTCAGTTTACTGCACGAGCTGCACGTTTCTCATATTTATTCATCTGTCGCTGCACAAACACAGAGTCCTTCGCAGGGACAGTCCACGCTCATCGCCAACGCCAGTCTGTGATGGTCTGAGAGCCGAGGACAGCAGCTGCCCGGCGGTGCTGGCTCTGCTTCGTCCTGTTTCTGGGTTCACGCTCCTCCACCTGGCTCCTTCTCCGTGATGGAGCAGTAGCCTGCACGTGTGGACAACACGTCGAGCTGCTGAGCGTGGATGTTTTAATGAAGGTGGCAGTTATCGGCCATGTCCCTGCGATTCCTCCGGGTTCTCTGATGAGTCTTTGTTTTCATTGAGGACCATTATTCTGAAATTGTTCCATCTCCATTTCAAAATCATCAGCTGTTGTCAGTGCTGCTACGCCTGCGGCCTGTTTTGGCCTCCACACCAACACCTTTGAGACACTTCAACATGAGCTGATATTTATTTGTGCAGCCCGACTCCTGACAGGCTCATGTAAACGCCACCAGATTTCGCCAGCTTCCAGTTTGGATTCAGGAGACAGACACTATCTCTACTTTCAAGATTAGGCTTCAAACTTTCCTTTTTGCTAAAGCATATAGTTAGGGCTGGACCAGGTGACCCTGAATCCTCCCTTAGTTATGCTGCAATAGACGTAGGCTGCCGGGGATTCCCATGATGCATTGAGTTTTTCCTTTCCAGTCACCTTTCTCACTCACTATGTGTTAACAGACCTCTCTGCATTGAATCATATCTGTTATTAACCTCTGTCTCTCTTCCACAGCATGTCTTTATCCTGTCTTCCTTCTCTCACCCCAACCAATCACAGCAGATGGCCCCGCCCCTCCCTGAGCCTGGTTCTGCCGGAGGTTTCTTCCTGTTAAAAGGGAGTTTTTCCTTCCCACTGTTGCCAAGTGCTGCTCATAGGGGTCATATGATTGTTGGGTTTTTCTCTGTATCTATGAAGCGCCTTGAGGCGACTTTTGTTGTGATTTGGCGCTATATAAATAAAATTGAATTGAATCAAAGCCCACTGATCAATAACCATGAGTCCCATTCACAGAGAGTTGGGGAAAGGCTGCAATCACAGCATTTGGTGACAGATGTACCCTTAGGCCCCCTCCTCGATTCAGAGATGGTCTTTCCCTCCTTTCACTCAGTGCTGCTGGTTTCAGGGCGAACAGATGAGCAGAATCAGCCATTCATGTCTGTGAAGGTTCTCGGTCATCCAGGTCATCGTAGTCAAAGGAGATCGAAGCTTCTTCAGTTCAGGACTGAAGAAGCTTCTCGGATGAGAGGCGAAACGTCTTCAAGCAACTTAAAGAAGTCCAGACGCTTTTCTTTAAAAGCTCCTTTGACTTTTGGGATTTCCTTACCTGGATGATTGAGCGTGCATCAGGACATCAGCTGTTTTTGTTCAGATTAAGTCAAATAAATCAGCCTTTTAGTGATCTTAGTGTAGAAACTGAGTTTACCTGTGGGTGTAGCGTGGACACGCGTGTGATTCACTGAGTCCCACCTGTTTTCTGTGTGTGCACCTGTTGGTTCAACAGGTTCCTCTTACATTTGTAATGAAAGCCATCCTTGAAACCCAAAGACAGGCTCCAGCGACAAACGTGTTCGTCACAGTTATCCTCGGTTCACGTCTGTGTGCAGCGTGACTGCAGGTCAGCTGTAACCCCACCCTGTCAGACCCAGCAGTGCTTCCTACGTCGATGCTGCAGCTGAGCCAGGCTGAGAGGCTCTGTTTTAATAAAGGTTGATGATCATTTGGCAGCGTTTCCAGAAGCTCTGCTCTGTGTTTCCGCCCCGCAGATTCAATTTTCTCGGCTGTTTTTCTTATGTATGCGTCAGGGTGCACGTCTCTGACTGCCTGCCTCTCTCTCCACAGATGTCCAGCTATAAGCGAGCAACCCTGGAGGAGGAGGAGGTGTCCGACGTGCCGGCTGAGGCGGCCTCGTCTCCTGACAGAGTGGAGGTCAGTGAACGCGGCAAACACGTCACATCTACAGGAAATTCATTTTATTTGTAAAGCTCAGGTCGCAGCGTCAGGCGCGTCACGGCGAGGTCGCGACCTCTCAGCCTTACAGAGAGCAGCTCTGAGCGACAGTGGAAACCACTTTAAGCCTTTTAACTGGTCCCAGGTAAAGTCCCAGACCCAGTGGCATCAACCCCCTGCATGCAGGCCTTTGCGGGGTCAGACTGAAAACCCAACAGGGCCCCGCAGTGTGAGTCCACCACCAACAAAGAGAGGAGCAGCAGGAGGTCTGGAGCTCTGCCACCAAGGCTGCTGGGGAACATTTTGGCAGCGAGGGGAGGACAGAGCGTTCAGACACAAACTTCTGGCCCCACGTCTGCAACCTCTTAATCCATCAGGCCTGTGCTGCACCGCGCAGGCTTCCAGTTACGTCACAGCGCAACCACGCACTAAACAAGCAGGATGTCTGAAATCACAGAACTGTTCAGGAGAACTGCTGCAAACATGAAAACCCAGCGTCTCAGACGAAAGCTGAGTATCAGTGTGAAGCAGCTCTCAGGCAGCTCTGTGACGTTCTCCAGGAACGGTTCTCCAGGAACGGTTCTCCAGGAACGGTTCTCCAGGCTTCCTGAAGGACATTCAAAGCTGTTCTTTGCATGTTTCTGCGTTTGTTCTGTGCTCTGTCAGGATGATCCCACACGGCTTCAGTGGTGCTGAGGTCCACCATCATGTGCTGGGCAGCATTTCCATCACCATGAAGCTGGTCCTCTGCTAACCAGACACAGCCCAGGCTCATCTGCTGAGGTCACACAGGTCAGAGTTCATGTTGCTGTGAAAATGGTCAGGCACGAGGACGGGACTGCGAATGAGTGAAAAACATCTGACGAGTACTTTTTCAGCGAGCCAGAGAAGAACCTACAGGAGAGTCTGACTACTGGCAAGCAAACGATTCAAGACTTCTGCACACGCTGAGCACTTATAAATCAGTTTAAAATGAGGATGTGTTAGAAGGTGGAGACGGTGCGGCCTCATCGTCCGTCACTATCAGGACCTTAATTACTGTGGATGTGAATTTATTTTCGGCTGACATTTCGTCGTCATTACACTGTTTCAGCGCTCCTGGCTCTGATAGCTCTCTGATATTGAATGAGAAGAAATCGTGCTGCTCCACAGCCATGCTTCACGGGCCAGTTTGCTGACACTCTTGCCGCCTTTCTTTCTGGCACTGTTAGCAACTTAGGTGTTCTCTTTGACAGCTCCTTTAAGTTTGACAGCAACTATCCTCTGTAGTTAAATCTAGTTTCTACCAACTGCATCAAATCTCCAAGGCCAAGCACTACATACCAGAGAAGGACCTCGAGAAACTTCTGTGACCTCTAGATTAGACGACTGTAATCCCGTTACTTTGGTCTCCGCCCTTCTTATAGATCGCAGCTTGTCCACAACACTGCCGGACGCCTTCTGACTGGAACCACAAGGTTTGCCTCTGTCAGCCCAGTCCTTGCTCACCTGCACTGCCTCCCTGTCAAATACCGAATTGAGTTTGAAATTCTGTGGCTTACTTTAAAATCATAAACAATACTGCGCCGTGCTACCTCACTGAACTCCCTCCATATACCCCTGGCAGAGCCCTAAGGTCATCAGGACAGTTACTCTCGGTTCAGCCTGGATCCTGGTAAAGACCAGAGGTGCTTTTGCCCGGCAGCCTCGAGCCTCCGGAACAATCTTCCTGCTGTTCGCGCCTCTGACTCCATCTACTCATTTAAATCTCAGTTAGAAACTCACCTGTTTGACTGAGCGTTTTCAGTTCGTTAGTGCACTTCCCCATGTTTCACCCTCATGTTACTTATCTTCTACTAATGTCCCACTGCATTTACCTTATATTTATGAATACCCTGTAATTTTATCTTCTAAACGAATGTTTTACTTCTTATTTTGTCTGTACCTTTGGTTTTAAATGTGCTATAGAAATAAAGCTGTATTGTATGTAACCAAGAGGTTACACAATAATTAAAAAATAGCAAATAAATCACAGAGTGCATCAAACTATTTGGGGCATGAAACGGGAAACAGACTCTGCGTTTGTGGACATTTGATCTGCAGCCTTGGTTTGTGTCTTGATGCATTCTCAATCATCCAGGTGAGTAATTACACGATGTGAACCAGCCTGAGGTCAGGCTGACCTGCTCCGTGTGCTCGAGCAGCCGCTAGGACACGCTGCAGCTCTCTGATTACTGTGCTGCGCTTCCACAGCAGCACAAAGAAACACTTTCAGTACTTGAAGCTTCTGAAGTTGAAGGTGCTGAAGTGAACTTCATAGCAGCTCCAGTACGATCCTACAGGTGGCGTCGCTCATCCCTGTGTCCACATACATCCATGTATAATCCCAGTAAATGGTAAACAGACTTTTTCCTGATGCGTGCATTGCATTGTGGGACATTATCCCGACACTGTGACATGCACACCTTGTGGTCAGCGCTCTAACTTCACCACAGCTCATCGAGATTTGAAGACAGTTTTCCTAAATGTGGATTTGAGCTTAAATATGACCATTACCTGGATCATGGATGGATGACACCATCTTTGTGTCTCAGGTGGGCTTCAGGAAGGGTGGTGTGGACATCCTGGGGAGGAGGACTCAGCTGGAGGTCCTGCTCTCAGTCCTGCTGCTGGCCGCCCTCCTGGCTCTACTGGCCTGCCTGGTGGTCCTGGGACTCGGCTTCAGCTCAGGTGATGGATCCCTCCTTCACTCCTCTACCTCCTTTTTCCTATAGTTCTTGCCTCCTTTCCTTCCCTCTTTCGGTTCTTGCTTCCTTGGTGTTGGCTTCTGTTGCTGCTCCTCCTTAACCTTCACACCTTTGCCTTTCCATCTCTACGTCCTCCTTTCCTTCCCGATGCCCTTCTGTCCACCTCAGCCTTTCCTTTTTTCCTGTCTCCGCCTTTCCTCTCTTTCCTCCTCACCCGCGTTATGGATCGTCCCCATGCCTCCTCCTTTCTTTTGTTTCTTTGTCTCCATCTCTTTGCTTTTCCATTCTCCTTCCTTTCTGTATCTTTATCTTTTCTGCCTCCATAATAACCTTCATGACGTCCTCCCGTCCTCTCATAATTACAACTCTTTTCTTTGACCTTGACTTTTTTTCTCACCCATGATGCTCTGCAGACAGTGGGCGTGGCCTGTGCCTGTCGGAGGCCTGTGTCACTGTGGCCAGTCAGATCGTGGAGGCGATGGACCGCAGCGCCGACCCCTGCCAGGACTTCTACCAGTTTGCCTGCGGAGGCTGGATGAGGAAGAACCCACTGCCTGACGGACGCTCGCGCTGGTCCACCTTCAACAGCATCTGGGAGCAGAACCAGGCGCTGCTCAAACACCTGCTGGGTACGCCGGCGGGCGGAGAGATGCGTGCAGAGATCATTAACTAGCTAATGGTCTCGCTGCTGGCTTCACCCTGTTAACACTGTGAAACTTTACTGTTAAAGACGAGCACACGGCCAGCTTTCTAAACGCGGACTTTTTAGTTTACAAAGTTTGTTTTCGTTCTTTAGAGAACGGGACGTTTAACGGCAGCAGCGAAGCAGAGAGGAAGACTCAGTCCTACTACCTGTCCTGCCTCAACACCCAGAGGATCGAAGAGCTCGGAGCTCAGCCTCTCATAGACCTCATCACCAAGGTACAGCCGGTCACCATGGCAACCGCATCACTCAGGCAAATTTGCTCCAAGTGTTTAAGGTTGGAGACAGAAGTGAGTTTGGAGGGTTTTTGTCCTGCAGAATGAAACGCAGGAGAAACGAGAGACTAACGAGGAAACATTATTGTTTTCATCTCTTTACTGTAAAATGACCCTCAGGATCTTTGTGGTTGGTGGTGAAAATCCTTTTTCATTCATACAATACTGAGGATATTTTGTATGTTATCATAACAAATTACCACAACGGTTTAATTTTGTGTTGTGACCACAGTCAAGCTGCTTAATCAAATGATCCCAAAGTAAAGGACGTGGAGCGAAGTCCACACTCGGGAACGTTGTTGTTCCATTTATTGCACATTCATCGTTGTAGCTCAGAAGCTTCCCAAATCAAAACAAAGCACAGAAATCTGCACGATTCAACACAAAGTAAAAGCAAACGTGTTATTCCATCGAAACTTCATGAACACTATAAACATGATTGTTGGACCAATCAGCGTGTTCTCGCTCTGCTACGACTTCAAACTTCCTGTTTGATCAGTTACAATAAAATTTATTATTATAAAATAATAGAACTGCAGGTATTACAGTAGTTTCACCTGGACCCTTTATCACAGGACTGTAGCAGCATCTTTGTGTTAAACTTTGTAATATTTGTTTAAAATCTTTAGTTGGTTTTATTCCAGTTTTTTTTAAAAATCATTTCTTTTAAGCTTTTATTTTGAAGTAATCCTGTGCTTCCTTCCTGTGGGGTGTTTCCTTTTTGGAGTAAAATGAATCCTGGATGGAAACTTTATATGTAGCAAAATCAATAATAAAGTATCATCAGCGTACAGGGTTAGGATTCAGTCTGTAAACACACGGAAGTGATAACGTCAGTGTTACGTTTTATTTATACGCTTTCATTTGTTTTTCCACTGTCACCGAGTCCAGCTCAAAGAGGGAGCACCTGATAGTTGGGTTTCCTTTGCTGTCATCACTTTATCATCTACAGCACGTGGAACTTTAGGTTTGCCATCACTATACTTACAGGAAATGGGATTTTGGATGACAGTGTTCTGTTTAGCATCCGTGGATTTCCACGTTTCTGCTTTGTTATTCCAGTAAATGTGAACTGTGTGCAGATTGGAGGCTGGAACATGACGGGCCCCTGGGACAAAGACAACTTCATGGATGTTCTGAAGGTGGTCTCCGGTCCGTACCGAGGTCAGCCGTTCTTCAGCGTCGGAGTCAGCGCCGATCCCAAAAACTCCAACAGCAACGTCATTCAGGTGAAGCAGAAACACCTGGTGACACATTCAGCCGATGAGCCACTGAATGAACATCTGTCTCAGTTTCCTCTTTAACTTAAACTATTTCATACTATTTCATACTAGAATACTTATGCTTCAAGCTTCTGCAGACGTGTTTGCTTTTTGTATTTGTCTGCGACAGCAGAAAGAGAAGCTTTCAAATGACTTCTGTGCTGTCACAGAGTCACCGTGTCGATCTCTTCTGCAGGTGGACCAATCAGGGCTCTTTCTGCCATCCAGGGACTATTACCTTAACAAGACAGCCAATGAGAAGGTAAGAATGCCTGGAGCGGTGTACCTCTTCCAGTGACATGCTGACTTTATTGAAGCTTAAATAGAATAAACCTGACTTCTTCCAGGTGTTGGTGGCGTACCTGGACTACATGGTGGAGCTGGGGATGCTGCTGGGGGCGAGAGGAGCTCCACTCAGGCTCAGATGCAGCAGATTATGGACTTTGAGACAGGGCTTGCCAACATCACCGTCCCACAGGACCAGCGGCGAGACGAAGAGAAGATCTACCACAAGGTCACCATCGCGGAGCTGCAGGTGAGGCTGGCGTCCTGATTGGTTTCTGTGTCTGGTTACATCACAGGCCACTGTTACTGAAGGAACCTAGTGATGTTTGGCAAACATCTGAAAGACGTGAGGGTTCAGAGCCTCTCCTCCCACATTCTAGGTTGTTTCCTCTGAGGCTGGACAGGAAGTGAATCTTCACCTGTGTCCATCTGGCTCGTCACCGTTTCTGTTTTGAGCCGAGAGCTGTCGTCGTTTGAGTCACGAGGTCTGAGTCTACGTAGAGTCGCAGATGTGAACGGAGGCTTCACTTTGTATTGTGTTTGATTCGCTGTCATGTTGTGAAACGGCGTCACATGTGCAGAATTCACTGTCAGAAAAATGTTTGCTGGAAATATTCAAAAAGTCACCGAAAGTCAAAGAGCTTCAGAGACGCGTCGAGCAGACGCAGCCTGACAGAATCAACATGAAAGCAGTTGGACAAAAGGTCAGAGGTCACGGGTGGTGGCTGTCAGGGGTGATGGAGACAAACGGACGGCCAATGTTCATCGGTCTTTATCAGCGTGACGCTTGTGTGCGTCCTCTTTCCTGCTGCTAACTGGGTTTGGGTTCATTTCTCTGATCTCAGGTCAGATTACAGCGTTTGTTCTGCAGCGCTCAGACCGTGCGTTTGTGTTTTCTCCTCGCGTTCCTCTGACGCGTCCTCCTGCCACAGTAATTCAGCGTTGTGGCTCTGATGTCGTGGCGGCGCAGCCTGTCTGCTGCAGCTCTCTGTCCTCCAGGGCTGCAGATGCTTCAGGGGTCCCCATGGCTACCGTTGCCATGAGTCGTTGCTATGTGACTGCACCTCTGAGAGAGGGAGGGAGGTTAGATAACAGGTTATTATATAAACATGGTTGATGTGAAGATGGAGGAGACCTCAGCAGTCTGGACTCTTCCTCCTCACATTCATTTTAATTCTTTTATTTATTGTTTCAGATGCTTTGATTTTGCTTATTGAAGCATCTAAATTTATATTTTTTGCACATTTTTTAATAGTTCTGCGAAAATGAGACTCCCGAGAAGCTGATATATTTCCTGCAGAACAAAAGAACAAACTCTGCAGGCTGTACAGTACTGTGCAAAAGTCTTGAGTCAATGTAAATAGGCAGAGTGATTTATTGAAACATGAAATATAGCACATGAGACAAAAACAGAGTTTGTGCATTTCTAATGAGCTGAAACTGAACGTTTGGTGTGAGCAGCTCTCTGTGACCATCTTCAGTTCTCCAGGTTTCTTCTTTGGATGTTTCTGCCTTCTGTTCCCTGTCAGGATGAGCCCACACTGCTTCAGTGATGCTGAGGTCCGGCTCTGGGCAGGCCCATCCCTGACCCACAGAAATGAAGCTGCAGCCAATCAGAAGCTTTCCTGTATTCGTGATGGCACTTTTCTCAGTTCATAAGTCATTGTTTTTAACAAAGATCTCCAACACCACCGACTGACACGCAGCCCAAACCACGACTGAGCCTCCTCCGTGTTTCACAGACTCTGTGTACTCAGTGAGTGTGCACAGGCCTGGCTGCTGCGTGTAGGTAACACAGGAAAGAAGGTGAAACTGCTGATTTGTGATCTGTTTATGTCAGAGATGCATCCGTGTTCCACCCATGCATTGCAGTATTGTGGGGGTCTAGAGGCCCACTGCTCTGCTGTAGCAGGGTGAAAGGCGGGGTACACCTGGCCCCGTCCTCAGCCCGTTGCACAGTAACGCAGACGCAGAAACCTGTTGGTGTCCACGCCTACGGCCAGTGTGGGAATGTCACGTAGCCTCACACAGGACGGACAAACCCAATGACCTCAGCCGGCTGGTGGATTCAGACCCTGGACCTGTTGCTGTGAGGACCGCTGCTCCGCTGTACACAACCCTATGGTGAAGTCATGTTGTTTAGGGCTGTGGAAACTTTACATGGGCTTTGCTGATCGGAGAGCAAAACGTGTCAAAGCTGTGAGCTGCTGCTTTCTGTGCCATTGTCTTAAAAAAGCCTCCACTCATTCACTGTGGTGTGTTTCCTCCCCGCAGAGTCTCCACACTTCAGTTTTTGACTTTCTGACTGTTTGAAGCTGAAGCAAAGCAGACAGCAGGGATTAGCTTTCCATCTCTGCATCTCCCCCCCGGGTGGTGCAGTCTGCTCCCACACTGAGGATTACTGCTGACAGGCAGGCAGCCCTGTTAAAAGCCCCACTGCTCTTTCTCACAGACAAACAGGAGCTGCTAAGTTTGAGATGCGCATGAAGTCAGAGCCACTTTGCCTGTTCGCGAGTCAGTATTTGTGGAACGTGACTCCAAATTATTTGTGCAAAATTCGCCTGTTTTTCATACCGCAAATTTAAAATATTCGCTAATTTTTTAGATTTTATTTTTGCGACTAAGTAGTAAGTTGTAAATCGAAATGGTATTGTTTGGGGTGTTTGGGGTGGTAGCTTGGGTTATACCTGGTCTCTAACCCCGGCAAACACAGAGGGCTCGAGTGTAAGGCCTTTATATGCAGAGCAAACTGACAGTGTATCTACACCGTGTGCAAGCAATCACACATGTGTACATACGTGTGAATGCAGATGTGCCTGCTGGTCTGTCAGACTCTTTAAACACACTCTGATGTCTCTGCTCGCTCTTCGTGGTTATGTTTTTTTATTCTTTCTGGACGTTAGCGTCTCCTCTGGGATTCTCTGTTTTACTTCCCTCCTTTGTTCTTTTCCCAACACTGTTATCCTCCTGACTGGCTTCACCTCCTTGTCCTTCTTCAGATGCTCCTTTGTCTCATTTTCCCCGTTGATTGGTTCATTGCTGGGGTCAGTTTTATTGTGATGTGATGTGTGTCTCTGCCTTTCCAGCTGCTGGCTCCAGCCATCGACTGGTTGGACTACTTGTCGTCCTCTCTGTCTCCTCTGGAGCTAAACGACACCGAACCTGTCGTCCTGTATGCCAAAGAGTACCTGCAGCAGGTGTCGGAGCTCATCAACAAGACAGACCGCAGGTCAGCGCTATCCACTGCCCCACCCCCACAGCGGTAACACACAGGTCTTATTGACATGAATTGTCAGACTGTGCTGCTCTCATGAATGAAGTGCAGGTTTGAGCAGCTCCGTGACTCTCACTCAGAGTGAGACTCACATCACAGACACAATTAATCATTAACCAGCCAAATTTTTGTCAGGTAAATGCATTAAAAACCTTCACCGTCTAAAGCTTAAATAGGTGAACAACAAAACAGTAGTTAAGTTGTGTGAAGTATACCCACCGCTGTGAAGCCGGACATTTGAGCACAGGTGTCTGTGGGGACTGACCCACTGCTGCAGCCTGAGAAGTGAGAGGGTTAACTTAAGAAATATGCACAGATAAAAAAGCCAAATCACACTCCAGCTAAAGATGCGGAGCTTAGTAACTGTGAAACAGAAACTAGGATGAGTACGATTTCTAAAGGAATAACTTCTCGAGTTCATTTTTAAAGAATGAACATCAAAAAATAATCAAACACTTATGTCTGTGTTTACGTGCATCTGGTAACACTCCTGTCAGCCCAAACACTATAAGCAGAACAACACTGACTGCTGAGTTCTGAAAGTTCTAAATTAAACCTGTACAAACTTCTTATTCACCAACATGTCCCACAGTGACGTAGTCCCTGGCATCCATCCTTCCCTGCTTGCTCTGCCCTGCTTGCTCTGCCCTGCTTGCCCTGCCCTGCTTATCCTACCTCTGCTTGCCCTGCCCTGCTTATCCTACCTCTGCTTGCCCTGCCCTGCTTATCCTACCTCTGCTTCCCTGCCTGCTTATCCTACCTCTGCTTGCCCTGCCCTGCTTGCTCTTCCCCTGCTTCCCTGCCCTACCCCTGCTTGCCCTTCCCTGTTTGCCCTACCCCTGCTTCTCATGCCCTGCTTGCCCAGCCCTGCCCTGCTTGCTCTGCTCTTGCCCTGCTTATTAAATCTGCCTGGTTGGTGTGTAATGAGAAGTGTGTGTGTCTCCAGTCTGCTGAACAACTACATGATGTGGACATTGGTTCAGAAGAGTGTCGCCAGTCTGGACCAACGCTTCGAGAATGCTCAGGACAAACTGCTGGAGAGTCTTTATGGGACCAAGAAGGTACAGAAGCTTGAAATACTACTGCCACTGCTGCTGATACACTCATTAGTGTTACTACTGCTGCAACTGGTAATCCTGCTAATGGACCAATGTGTGTTTGGGTTATTGTGTTTCTGACTGGGACTAACGCTTTCTTTTTCAACTCCTTAAACTGATGGTGCATTCAGCTGGTGTCAGAATAACTGGAGTTGTAAGTTGTAATATGGTGTTTGGGTTCCAACCAGTCGGTGCCCTTCAAGTAGAGTGACCTCAGTTAGCTAGAATATTGTTTATTTCAAGGAATGCTTAAAACAACCCGGAAACAGCGATCAGTGTGTTGTTTAAACATTCTGACATTCTGATAAAATACTGTGCATTGTGTTTAAAATTCATGTTGTTTTAATAACAACTTAGACACACACGAACACAATAAACTCAGAGCTGGTCTGATCATTACTAAGGTCATGTCTGAAACCATTCACTCATCCTGTGGGATACAGTTTTGTTTGTTTTTTTACAGTTTTTTTACTCACTGTTTTTTACTGGAAAGTACTTGGTCAGCCATGTTGTTTTTAAAGTACTCTATAAATAAAGTTGGATTGAATTGGTTAGCTCACGCTTAGTTTCATGTGTTATGCCAAGGAAGGAAGTGATACCTTAGTTAGAGCCAACTGGTTCAATCATTCAGGACTGGTTTCAACAAGCAGCTGCTTCTTTATGCTAATACCAATCTGTAGCAGGTTAACTGCTTCTAACTGGTTGTAGACTCACCTGCTCTGGTCTAACTGGGCCTAGGAGTTTGTAACTGCATGTGTTTTATCGTAGTCCTGTACGCCGCGCTGGCAGACCTGCATTGGGAACACTGACGACACCCTGGGCTTTGCGCTGGGAGCGCTGTTCGTCAAGGCAACTTTTGACAAACAAAGCAAAGAGATTGTGAGTCACTGAGCCGGCCCTGCCTTCAGAAACTTCGTCATGAGGTCAGATTGAGGTCTGGTTAGTTTGAGCTCACTCGCTCATCTCTTACAGGCTGAAAAGATGATCAACGCCATCCGGTCAGCGTTCAAAGAAGCGCTAGACCAACTCAGCTGGATGGACGACCAGACGAGACAGGCTGCAAAGGACAAGGTCCACACAGACACACAAACACAGTGCATACGCAACTTAAAGTTTGTACCCTTGGGGTTTTGAAATGTAGGAGACAGAAAATGTTGGTGGTGGTTAGGTTTACAGACGGGTTAGGCTACCTTAGTTGAGCTTAAAGTGCCCGGTATCCCATAATATAACAGTTTCACTGTAAATAATATCAACAGCACCAGGAAAAGAGGCAGAAAAAGGCTGATAACTAGGAAAAGGGTTAAAGACTGATTTGTCTGTGTGCTCCTCGTTAGGCAGATGCAATCTATGACATGATCGGCTTCCCAGAATTCATCCTGGACTCCAAGGAGTTGGACGATGTTTATGACGGGGTGAGTGAACACTGCTAAACATCGCTCGGTCCTCTGCAAACCAACCGAAGTAAGTGATGGTGGCTATCCCGCCCTGGCTCCCAGAGAGCCAATCAACAGCCAGTCCAGGAAACACGAGATGTCACAGGGCTTTGAAGTGGCAGCACCAAGAAGTGCTCCAAGAAAGACGACTGGTGGTAATCAGTCGTCTGCACAGCACACACTGAGGGAACACTGTGAAAGCCGTCCTAAATCCGATTTAGGACATTTGCAATTAAATGTTTCCTGCAGACTCTGAATGTCAGACTCTAGATTCACGTTTGGGTGGTGCTGTGCTGCCCCCTGCTGTTCAACTTAATGTAATCTAACAGCTTGGTTCTGTATTTCAGTATGAGGTGTCAGATGACAGCTTCTTCCAGAACATGTTGAACTTCTACAACTTCTCCTCTCGAGTGATGGCCGACCAGCTGAGGAAGACTCCCAACAAAGACCAGTAATGCACACGTGCATCAGTGCACACAGAGGTCACTAATACACGCCGACATCAGGAGGCGCAGCTACACAAATATACAGGCGCACACGTCCTCAGGGGTCGTACTCACAGTGTAACGCAGTGTAACCATCAGTTTACATTATTTATATTATTTATTTTTTATATTATTTTACCAATTTAAACCTACACATCAAAGACTTTTAGTTAACAAAATGACAGGACAAGAGCTCGCATTAAAAACAGGGGCTGATGGAGGATTTTCACTATTTTATTTATGAGCTCAGAGGTAACTGTGCGCTCAGTCTGTGGAGCTGATTATGAGACTTAAGTCACAGTTTAGTTTCTCATGTGCAGGTTTGGGAAAATGAATTGGCCGGCCCCGGTAAAGGTCAGAGTTCAGGTCTCAGAGAGAGCACACCTGTGGTTTAAACCTGACTTATTTGTAATGTGAGGTTTTAAACTGAAACAAATGCATTTCTCCCATCGGAGTCTCGTATGAATGGTGTTACAGGAGCGCTGAAAATAAACATGAGGTTTCCCGGTCAGGGACAGTCCTCCAGGTGACACCGAGCTGACTCTGACTGGTACTGAACTACGCTGATGCTTCCGTCAATGTGTTAAACCGCGGCTGTAGGCGGGCTGTGTAAAATACCAGCTTATTCAGTATATTTGTATCATCTGTGTTTGGTACAATTCGTCGTTGATGACGAGATATCCCAGGACCAAACAGGATCAATGTACATGAGGCTGACATTGCTCCTGTTGGCGGTGATTTTTGCAAAAGGGGAGAAGTTATCTTTGTAGTTGAGCGCAGAGCTAATCCTGTCATCAGATGGACTGATCATAAGGCCCACCCTGTTTTGAGCATATGTGCAGAGTCGTAGTGGTTTTTATAGATCTACCAACAGATTAGCTGGTGTTTGTGCTGGAAGAGCAGCTCTGGTTCACATCACAGCTGGTCAGTAACTCGTCTTTGCTGACACTTTGCAAATACGATCCCTGAACATTTATAAGGTATGGCTGGACCGCAGATTAACTCCTCTCCCTCCCCTTCCTTTCTCTCTTCCTCTCCTCCTCCTCCCAATCCTTTCCTTGTTTCCTGTCCTCCTCCAGATGGAGTATGACTCCTCCTACAGTTAATGCCTACTACATGCCCACTAAGAACGGCATCGTCTTCCCTGCTGGGATCCTGCAAGCTCCCTTCTACGCCCACGACCACCCCAAGTCTGTTTACCTCAGTATCTACCTGTCCATGCGTCTGCCTGTCTGTCTTTACATGTTCTTTTCTTCAGCTTTCACACTCTTCAGGATGCTGTTTGCTCTTATTGTTGTTGTAATGAGCTCTGCTGACTGTAGGGGGCGCTGGCAGGACTTTAGACTTTCAGTTTGTGGGTGTGGCTTAAATCATCACTGAGTTTGGGCATAAAGTTCTGATTAAGTGCTGATCCGGTCATCCGCACCATGTGTGTGTGTGTACTGTAAATATATAAAAATACTAATTATAAACTTTATAAAACGTGTTTTTTATAAAGAGCTTCCAGACCAATCGCAGCTGTTTCTGGACTCGGTGTGTGGGTAACGTTTTGACTGCTGTGTGTTTGTGTTTTCAGGGCACTGAACTTTGGTGGCATTGGGGTGGTGATGGGCCACGAGCTCACGCATGCCTTTGATGATCAGGGTGAGTTTCACTCCAGGTCATATTTGATTCACTGCACTCAGTGTGGGCGTGGCCTGTGTTTATTCTGAATTGGGGTGATTATTAACGGACGGCTGCAGTCCTGGCGGCCGACTGTCGTTCCTGTTGTGCGGCTTTGAAGTCTGATTGAAGTCGGCTGCCCGGGGCGCACATGCAGCTGACGTGTTGTGATGTAAATTCAGATTTGTCCACGTGGTCTTAAAAACAGGCAGGCGTGGGGGCGGACCCTCAGTAATTCCATAATTTACCTCAAAATGAACTAAACAAACCTAATGAGCTGGAACTAAATCATGTTTAACGGGAGCTTAAAACAGGCTCAGGCTCCAAACTGCCACAAAAACAGGAGCATGAAACATTAAACAATTGGAGAACCACAGATGGTAATCCTGATTACCTCAGGAAAGTACCAACACAGCTGCAATGTGGTCCTTGTGTCCATCAGGTCGTGAGTATGATAAAGAAGGAAACTTGAGGCCATGGTGGCAGAACTCGTCCGTGGAGGCGTTTCGCCAGCGGACCGAGTGTATGGTGGATCAGTACGGCCGCTACACCGTCAACGGAGAACACATCAACGGAAAACAGACACTCGGAGAAAACATCGCCGACAATGGGGGGCTAAAGGCGCGTATCACGTGAGTAGGAACACAAACGCTGCAGCAACAGGTCAACACCTCCCACTAACCCGCGTGTTGATGGTTTTCCTCCTAAGGCCTATCGTCATGGATCCAGGGAAACGGAGATGAGAAAAGACTTCCTGCTGTCAACCTGACCAATGACCAGCTTTTCTTCGTTGGATTTGCCCAGGTGAGACGCTGCAGACAAACAACGAAGCTCAGCTATTTGCTTTTTTCAGTTACAGATCTAGACCGCCAAACCTAAATGGGATTAGTTCATTCAACTCAGAAAATGTCAAACGCCATCCGTTTCCTGTTACCACTGGTGTCCCCCAGGGATCTGTCCTCGAACCTCTTATAATAGTCATCTACTTCCTGTTGCTCAAAGGAAGTAGATGATTGTGAGACATTTGATTAAAAAAATGAAAGAAAATGCTGCATCGAGATTTGTCCCTTCTCAGATTTCTGTTCTGTTCTTTTAGGTGTGGTGCTCAGTTCGGACACCAGAGAGCGCTCACGAGGGCCTCGTGACCGACCCCCACAGTCCTCCCCGATACAGAGTCATCGGCACGCTCGCCAACTCTCCGGACTTCAGCCGCCACTTTAACTGCCCCGAAGGACACCATGAATACGGGGAAGCGCTGCGAAGTCTGGTAGTCAGACCTGAAAGGACCAGCTCGGGGTGGTGCAGGAACGGGGGGGGAGTCTGTCAGCTGACGGGTTGACGGGCTCGTTAGTGTCTTAATTAGAGTTCAGGTTCTTTCATGGGGTGGGGGGAGCAGGTGTAATCTTCAGCTTCAGTTAATCTGTAACTTGGTGACGATCAGACTTACTTCCTGTCTGGAAACTAAAAGGACTCGGTGGACGTCACACAGACACGAAGGACTGACGAGGAAGAAGAAGCCACGTGGGCGGTGGCGATGATTCCTGCTTTTATCACGTTATTGATTCATAGTGTTATTAATGGGCTTTGGTTTGTGTGTGCGTGTGTGTGTGTGTGTGGTGTGTGTGTGTGTGTGCGCGTTTTGTCCGTTGTGTGAAAGAGCTCTATAATTCCACCCCCTACGACATCACTGTGATGACCTCATACAAAGTTGAACTGTTACATAATCAGTCATGGCTGTGTGTGTGTGTGATTGGCCACTCAGTTATTGAGGAAGCTGTCGCCTGATTGGCTGGGAGGCTTTCAGTTTTAGGGGTGTAGATTAGGATTAAGGAGAGGAACGAGGGTTTCGTGGATTATTTATGAGGTTTTAAGCATTTAAAACACTTTTTCTCGGATTTATCTCCTCGGTCCGTTTCTCGTGTATATAATCTGTCAGAAATGTCGAAGTTGAATCCACGCTGTAACCACTGTTTCACTCTAAATTAAGACATATTTTAAAAGGTTTTCCATCATTTTGTAATCTATTACAACCCTTTAATGAGTCTGTCGAGGATTGCCTTAAAGCCAGCGTTATCTTTAGGTAACACAGAGCATAGCTCACCTTCCAGTTTGCACAGTTTAACCGACTCACTACGTTAGCGCTCTGCAACCACTAAGTAACACACTGTTACCAGGAGACACAGCCTCACTTCCAGGTAAAGACCAGTGTCAGTGAATCAAACAGTGAGTAGAGAGGAAACAGCTTAAAACCAAAACCTGATCCTAAAACTGAGTTTGGAATTAAATTTCAAAATAAAATGCAAACACAATCCTGTCTATGGTCTATCTCACAAAAATAGATGATTTATTTGCAGTGTTTTGGTAGCTCATCTTTATCAGGTAAACGGTGAACCTCTGAACATCTACCACAGCGGTCTGGTTCACATGCAGCTCCACGTCACCAGTTTTCACCCATTTGCCAACAAAACAACTTAAAACAGAAGAAGTGGGAAATATACACTGGTGGGTGAAACTGGAGGTGTGGAGTGCGTGGTCCGCTGGTGAAATGGTGGATACTAAGAGCTTAGTGGCACAGGAAGTAGTGAAGTCAATCAAATTTCCCAGTTGTATTTGTTTCTAATGTTTTATAATAACTCAAGTTTGCTGTTTCAAACACTAGTTATACAAAGAATCATAAATATACAAAAGTATGATGGAGTAAAGCTCACAGGACTGCATTTCAGATACAGTTGGTGCAACCGGTGAAAACACAAAACTGGAACACTTTATAATGAAACTAACAAGAAGCTCCACATACTCCTAATATACTAGTATAGATATCAAGCCACATGCAGCCATGTTTGTAGCCTTTGGATTTTTTTATTATTCTGTATTTAAATGATTTTCTATAGTTTTAAGCCATTCGGTGCGCGGGGAATGTGATTGGCTGTAAGCTTGCTGATGTCATGGCTTCTCTTGTCACAAACCATTTGCCTGATCTGTGAACGAGTCAGTGAGCAGGAGTCTGTCCTTGGAGCTCTGCATCTGTCCCACTCTTTCATTCTTTGAAATAATCGGCTGCTCACTGAGCTCAAGGTCTGATGTGATGTGAGGGTGGCGTGAACTTCAAAATGAGACTTTTGGTGTATAAATGGGTTCATCATCAGACCTCGGCAGTAAACAGCTGGACCAGGAGTGGGATTACCTTTAGAAATACTCAGAGTAAACATAAATATGAGAGACAGACTGTCGAAGTTAAAGATCCAACACACGTTAAACCTTCATTCGTTAAAGAACTGACGACTTGGTACCTCAGACTTCATTACCAACGATTCCTTAAAACATGGCTGAACTTTAGCTCCCGCCCAGTGCAGGCACATGACTGACGACAGGTGGCGCTCTCGGCCCGCTCACCTGAACCACAAGCTTAATATTCACGTTAAAGTCAGTGTTGTGATAATAACCATACACTGTGTATTGTCAGTGTTTGTGCATGTGTGGGTGTGCGTGTTTTGGAGTGTGTGCCGGCTTCGCCTCCCCCTATGACATGACCGTCCAATCCTACGCAGCTCCCGTGTGTGACGTCTTTTGTTCTGCAGAAGAAGAAGCTGCCTCCGGCGAAAGATGTGTCTGGGTGCGTTTGCGTGTTCTTGTATGTCTATTGTTGTAAGGACGATTAAAAACGTTGGTTCTCCACTTTGGGACAGATTTTCTGAGACCCTTTAGAAGCAGGGTTAGGTTATGAGTTGGGGGGGGTGCATCGCATCTACAAGGGTCCTTGTGTAGGTGCAATGAAACAATAGACAGACAAGTGTGTGTGTGTCAGGAGTCAGAGCTGTGTAAAAATCTGTGTGTACAGTAAACAACAATAGAGCTGAAGTAGAAGAAACTGCTCATTTTAAACTCTGTGTCTGTCCTGAGGGGGCGTCAGTGCTCGTCCAATCACAAGGCTGCGTTTCAGGTGGCTGCTGTGGGGGAAAAAACACCTGAAGTTTTATCTGCTTTTATTTTATTGCCCGAGAATGTAGAGAAAAGAATGAGAAATGTTTTCTATCAGGCTGCAGAAATATAATAAACACTGAACACACTCAGCCACACAGTCCTGCTCTGTTATTACAAGGAAAGGTGGAGCACGGGTGGGGGTGCATGATCGCTTTGGCTCCACCCAGCATGTGAGTGTTTGAATGTAAGCTTGTTTCTTTTACCTTCTCTGTAACACGGCTGCTGACGAGGATCAAATCAATCAACTAGAAAATCAATGAGAAAAGGCACTATTGAAAGTTAATGGTGTGCTGTCCTCACCCTCAGGTTCCTGGTTTTCACCAGCGAGCTAACAATGCTCCAGTAATCAGACTCATTTTCCTTTTTTGTGCTGATTTATTGAATGATGGCCTCTGACCTTCTCTTTGACCATTGTAAAACTGAAAACATACAAAATATTGTATTAGCTAACTAACATTGCAAACTAGCTTGTTACAAGCTTACTGCAAGCTAACAAGATAAAACTTTCATACTCAATTAAACAAAGTTTTAAACACAACAAGAGACAATTATTATTTAATCATCACTCATACTTACGGACAAATCTCGTCCGAAGCAACATTTTCAGCTTGGAACGATAATGCTTCAGCATTACGTTCAGCCATCTTGGATTTTCCACTTCCTCTATTTTTCTTTTTCCAAAGTAATCAAAATAATATTACAAATCAGCCACTAGAGGGGGCTCTAGGGCAGATTACTAAACTGTATTATCCAGCGTAACATATAAAAGGCAGAACAAATATCCTTTATTTATATAAAGTTCTGCCAGGAGAGCAGACTCTGCTCCACACTGGAGCCTCCGCTTCTCCATAGAGCGCCCCCTGGAGGAGCGAAGGAGGCCCACAGCCAAGCTCCCTACAGACCACCTCTGCATCCTGCAGGTCAAGCTTCACGCACTGAGGACCATCTCTGGTTACACTTCCCTGCAGTCAGTGTTGAACAGCAGGTACATTAGGGGCCAGTTTCTGTGTAAAAATGTGATTAAAAACCTGAAACACTTTGATGGTTTTGGACTTTTCATGCTGGCAGTAAGAAAACAACAGAATCATTCCAGCCTGACTGATTAACAGAATCTTTGGTAGAAAGAAAGTAAAATCTGTGACTGAGGTGATGGATGAGCTGAGAACTTCATCTGGATATGAGATGAGCTCCTTCCTCTTTAGCCGGCCCTTCTTCAGCTGTACCAACACCAAAATTAACCAGCTTGTTGTTCTCCGGTCTGCCCAGCTTCTGCCCCCTGCTGGCCTGGAGGGACATAAGCACACATAGATCAGACTGACTGCATCGTTCCTCTCTCAGGGCTTCGTTCTCTGATGCAAACATGTGTTCAGTACCTTACAGTAGAAATACAGGACAACGTTCTCCAACAGCAGGATCAGTGGCAGGACGAGCGCTCTGATGATGAAGCCTGTGGGATCTGGATGACCTGCGGGATCGAACACATTCACAGTCATCACGAGTCAAACAGCTGCCATTAAACACAAACTGCAGAGAAATCTGTGAACATCGTTTATCTGGACCTGAACCTCTGCTCTGAGGACAAACCCCTTTAAACCCCTCTGAGAATAATCTGTGACTGGAGCCTGCACAAGTTAAACTGAGTTTAGTGATACTTAAAAGTCAGAAAATGTTTTTCATCAATTAAAGACATAAAAAGCTGATTAGTCATGTGGATAAAATACATATATCCCTTCATTTATTGTCTCTTCCAACCATCCATGTAACATCAGGTGTTTCAGATCAGGTCATTGGTATTTAGGGAGTGATGCCTGTGACACTGAGGACCTGCTGTTGTCATTGGTGTTGAAGTTGTCTCATCATACTCTGGCCTCTGACAGTGGACTCATCTCTGTGCTTGTCCTGCTAGACCTCAGTGCAGCGTTCGATACTGTTGACCATAATATCCTATTAGAGCGATTAGAACATGCTGTAGGTATTACAGGTACTGCACTGCAGTGGTTTGTATCATATCTATCTAATAGACTCCAGTTTGTGCATGTAAATGGAGAGTCCTCTTCACACACTGAGGTTAATTATGGAGTTCCACAGGGTTCAGTGCTAGGACCAATTCTGTTTACATTATACATGCTTCCCTTAGGCAGCATCATTAGAAGACATAGCATACATTTACACTGCTATGCAGATGACACCCAGCTCTATCTGTCCATGAAGCCAGATAACACACACCAATGAGTTAAACTGCAGGAATGTCTTAAAGACATAAAGACCTGGATGGCCGCTAACTTTCTGCTTCTTAATTCAGATCAAACTGAGGTTATTGTACTCGGCCCTGAAAATCTTAGAAATATGGTATCTAACCAGATTCTTACTCTGGATGGCATTACCTTGGCCTCCAGTAACGCTGTGAGGAACCTTGGAGTCATTTTGACCAGGACATGTCCTTCAACGCACATATTAAACAAATATGTCAGACTGCTTTCTTCCATTTGTGCAACATCTCTAAAGTTAGAAATATCCTGTCTCAGAGTGGCGCTGAAAAACTAGTTCATGCATTTATTACTTCCAGGCTGGACGACTGTAATTCATTAGTATCAGGAAGTCCTAAAAACTCCCTGAAAAGCCTTCAGCTGATCCAAAACACTGCAGCAAGAGTCCTGACAGGGACTAGAAAGAGAGCAGATTTCTCCTGTTTTGGCTTCCTGTTAAATCCAGAATTGAATTCAAAATCCTGCTCCTCACATACAAGGTCTTAAATAATCAGGCCCCATCTTATCTCAATGACCTTGTAGTACCATATCACCCTATTAGAGCACTTCGCTCTCACTCTGCAGGCCTACTTGTTGTTCCTAGAGTATTTAAAAGTAGAATGGGAGGCAGAGCCTTCAGTTTTCAGGCCCCTCTTCTGTGGAACCAGCTTCCAGTTTGGATTCAGGAGACAGACACTATCTCTACTTTCAAGATCAGGCTTCAAACTTTCCTTTTTGCTAAAGCATATAGTTAGGGCTGGACCAGGTGACCCTGAATCCTCCCTTAGTTATGCTGCAATAGACGTAGGCTGCCGGGGATTCCCATGATGCATTGAGTTTTTCCTTTCCAGTCACCTTTCTCACTCACTATGTGTTAACAGACCTCTCTGCATTGAATCATATCTGTTATTAACCTCTGTCTCTCTTCCACAGCATGTATTTATCCTGTCTTCCTTCTCTCACCCCAACCAATCACAGCAGATGGCCCCGCCCCTCCCTGAGCCTGGTTCTGCCGGAGGTTTCTTCCTGTTAAAAGGGAGTTTTTCCTTCCCACTGTTGCCAAAGTGCTGCTCATAGGGGGTTATATGATTGTTGGGTTTTTCTCTGTATCTATGAAGCGCCTTGAGGCGACTTGTGTTGTGATTTGGCGCTATATAAATAAAATTGAATTGAATTGAATTGAATTGAATTGAATCATACTATTATCTACACAACATTCTCTGGGGTTAGGGGTATGTCTGGTATTACATTTTAAAGGTACCAGGAGGGATCAATCGGTGTATTTTGTGGAAATCAAGCAGCTGCTTGTTTCTGGCTAATCCTTTTTGAGTCAAAAAGCTGTCTCCAAACCCCCCCACACCTCATTCCTGGATCTGCCAGTAACTCTACAGCTGTTAGTGTCAAAGTGATGCAACCATATTGAGCTTGTACACATTTAACCGGCACAGCAGAAAACCAGGAAAATCCTTTATGGCCCAAGAAAAACTACAAACTACAGTTGGTCAACATCCAATCAAAGAGAAATAATTTGCTTTAGATAGACAAATCAAAGATGAAATGTTTGGCTACAGTAACTGTAGAGACATTCAGAACAAACCAATGGCAGATGTTAAAAAACAAACCATCAACCAGGCAGAACTATGCTGGTGTGTTGTTGCTTCACAGCATCAGAGATGGAGAGACTTCAGCCACTGATTCCACTCTGAACTGCAACATAATGATGACACATCTGTCTTAAAACTGAACAAGGACTAGATGAGTCGATGGGATAATGATCCTCAACACATGAACTAATTCACCAATAAGTGACTCAGAAAGAAGAATTAGAGGAGGAAGGAGTCAACGCCCAGTTCAGCTGAATCCCGCTGGAGTGTTGTGTGACGAAGCAGGTGGCACACGCAGGAAAACCACCCAGAAACAACATTCTGGCTTAAACAGCAGTCCAGATGTTAACAGGATGTGCCTGGGAGGACTGATGTTTTGATTTGTCGCTGTGTAAATGAAATAGTTTTCAGAGAACCGGCGTTACTGTGGTAACCATTCATACTCTGCTCGTCACTGTTTCTGGCTGCAAACCTTTCAAAGTTAGATTTTACAGAAAATCTCTCTGCTTCAGCTCACCTGAGACAGTCACAGACAGCTGGCGGCTCTCAGAGGAGAAGTTGTGAGAAAAAACATAAACACGATAAAAGCAGCTGTAGTTTCCTTGGTGGGCGGGCTCTGTGACAGGAAACAGGAAGTGGGCAGAGTGATTGACAGCTGGCTGGGTGTAGTTGTATGCTGTGTTGGAGGAAGTGAAGGTGAGCTGGAAGGAGCCTCCTGGGAACTGTGGCTGGATGGAGCAGCTGATGGTCAAGCTAGAGCCCCTGGACACCCGAAGCCCCTGCTGCTGTGCCTCGGAGACTCCGTCCATGGAGGCAGGGACAATAATGCTTGGCTGAGCCAGCAGGTCTGTAAATGAACAGAGACCATGACAGGTGAGGTCATCATCAGAGGCCTTATGGCAAACAAAACAGCCTCTGAACAGCAGCGAGCAGCAGCGACGACGGACTGTAAACTGAGATACTGGATCCACCTTCAGGACCTCCACAAACCCAGTCACACAACTTCCTCCAGATGTTTGTTGAACATCAGCAGTTTATGGAAAGACTGAAGTTTGCAAAAAGTTAAACCTTTCTTTGACTCTTGGTGGCGCTGTCACTTGGTGTTCGCTCGCTCTGTGGTAGAGTATCACTTCCTGTTCCTGCTCAAACACAGTGGTGTTTCTGAGTGGCTTATTTGCTTAGCAATTTAATTAACAACTTTTAAATACATTCTTTTTCATAGTAGAATCTTCACGTGCTTCACCCGAAGCACACTTTCTGTGTACTCACTACCTAATTTATAGCCAAAGTATTCACTCACTGTCTCTGTACTGTTTTGCTAGCTTAGCTTAGCTCGTAGCCGACTCGTTAGCACCATGGCCTCTTCACCTCTCCCTCCTGCACTTTCTTGCTCATTGTGTCAGATGTTGAGTTACTCCTCGGCCTCCTTTAGCAGTAATGATATCTGTAACAAATGTAGCATATTTGCAGCTCTGGAGGCCAGGATTACTGAATTGGAGACTCGGCTTCGCACTCTTCATTCACCCGTAGCTAGCCAGGCCCCTGTAGCTGGTGCAGCCGAAGATAGCGTAGGCCCCGCTAGCTGTTCCCCGGCAGACCCCAAGCAGCTGGGGAAAGAGGGCGGCTGGGTGACGGTGAGGAGGAAGCATAGTCCCAAACAGAAGCCCCAGGTACACCACCAACCCGTTCATGTGTCTAACCGTTTTTCCCCACTCGGCGACACACCCGCCGGGGGTCAAACTCTGGTAATTGGTGATTCTGTTCTCAGACATGTGAAGCTAGAGACACCGGCAACCATAGTCAATTGTCTTCCAGGGGCCAGAGCAGGCGACATTGAAGGAAATTTAAAACTGCTGGCTAAGGGTAAACGTAAATTCAGTAAAATCATAATTCACGTCGGCAGTAATGACACCCGGTTACGCCAATCGGAGGTCACTAAAATCAATATTGAATCGGTGTGCAACTTTGCCAAAACAATGTGGGACTCTGTAGTTTTCTCTGGTCCCCTCCCCAATCAGACCAGGAGTGACATGTTTAGCCGCATGTTCTCCTTAAACTGCTGGCTGTCTGAGTGGTGTCCCAGAAACGATGTGGGCTTCATAGATAATTGGCAAACCTTCTGGAGGAAACCTGGTCTTGTTAGGAGAGCTGCTCCATCCCACTTTGGATGGAGCAGCTCTCATTTCTAGAAATATGGACAAATTTATTAAACCTCCCAAAATATGACTATCCAGAGTTGGGACCAGGAAGCAGAGTTGCAGTCTTACACGCCTCTCTGCAGCTTCTCTCCTCCTGCTACCCCCCCCAAAAACCCATCTCCATAGAGACTGTGTCAGCTCCCAAACAGACAAAAAACAAACTAAAAACCAGCAACAAACAACTTAAACATAAACAATTACAAAGAAAGAACAATACAGTATCCACATCTGAACCAAAGAGTAAAACAGTGAAATGTGGATTATTAAATATTAGGTCTCTCTCCTCCAAGTCTCTGTTAGTACATGACTTAATAATTGATCAACAAATTGATTTACTCTGCCTTACAGAAACCTGGTTGCAGCAGGATGATTATGTTAGTTTAAATGAATCAACACCCCCGAGTCATTCTAACTACCAGAAACCTCGAAGCACAGGCCGAGGGGGAGGTGTGGCAGCAATTTTTCACACCAGCCTATTAATTAATGAAAGACCAAGACAGACTTTTAATTCATTTGAAAGCCTGATGCTTCGCCTCGTCCACCCCAGCTGTGAAACTCAGAAACCAGTCTTACTTGTTATCATCTATCGTCCACCTGGGCCTTACACAGAGTTTCTGTCTGATTTCTCAGACTTTATATCTAATTTAGTTCTGAGCTCAGATAAAATAATTATTGTGCGTGATTTTAACATCCATGTAGATGCTAAAAATGACAGCCTCAACATGGCATTTAATCTGTTATTAGACTCAATTGGTTTCTCTCAAAATGTAAAAGAACCCACCCACCACTTTAATCACACTCTAGATCTTGTGTTAACATATGGCATAGAAACTGAACATTTAACAGTGTTTCCTGAAAACCCTCTCCTGTCTGATCATTTCCTGATAACATTTACATTTACAATAATTGATTACACAGCAGTGGAGAGTAGACTTTATCAAAGTAGATGTCTTTCTGAAAGCGCTGTAACTAAGTTTAAGAATATAATCCACCCACTGTTATCATCTTCAGTGCCCTGTACCAACACAGAGCAGAGCAGCTATCTGAACGCTGCTCCAACAGAGGTCGATCATCTTGTTAATAATTTCACCTCCTCACTACGTACGACTCTGGATACTGTAGCTCCTGTGAAAACTAAGGTCTCTAATCAGAAGTACCTGACTCCGTGGTATAATTCTCAAACACGTAGCCTAAAGCAGATGACTCGTAATCTGGAGAGGAAATGGCGTGTCACAAATTTAGAGGATCATCATTTAGCCTGGAGAAATAGTTTGCTGCTTTATAAGAAAGCCCTCCGCAAAGCCAGAACATCTTACTATTCATCACTGATTGAAGAAAATAAGAACAACCCCAGGTTTCTCTTCAGCTCTGTAGCCAGGCTGACAAACAGTCAGAGCTCTGTTGAGCCAACCATGCCTTTAACGTTAACTAGTAATGACTTCATGAACTTCTTCACAAATAAAATTTTATCATTAGAGAAAAAATTACCAATAATCATCCCACAGATATTATCTACAGCTACTCTTAGTACCATTGATGTTAAGTTAGACTCTTTTTCTCCAATTGATCTTTCTGAGTTAACTTCAATAATTACTTCCTCCAAACCATCAACGTGTCTTTTAGACCCCATTCCTACAAAACTGCTCAAAGAAGTCCTGCCATTAATTAATTCTTCGATCTTAAATATGATCAACCTATCTCTAATGATCGGCTATGTACCACAGGCCTTCAAGCTGGCCATGCATTGAGTTTTTCCTTTCCAGTCACCTTTCTCACTCACTATGTGTTAACAGACCTCTCTGCATTGAATCATATCTGTTATTAACCTCTGTCTCTCTTCCACAGCATGTATTTATCCTGTCTTCCTTCTCTCACCCCAACCGGTCACAGCAGATGGCCCCGCCCCTCCCTGAGCCTGGTTCTGCCGGAGGTTTCTTCCTGTTAAAAGGGAGTTTTTCCTTCCCACTGTCGCCAAAGTGCTGCTCATAGGGGTCATATGATTGTTGGGTTTTTCTCTGTATCTATGAAGCGCCTTGAGGCGACTTTTGTTGTGATTTGGCGCTATATAAATAAAATTGAATTGAATTGAATTGTCACAGATCGTGACTGTGAAGAGAAATGAAACACAGCCCCTTAAATATTCTCAGGGGTACTCATAAGTAATGATTAGGAGTTTTCAGATCTTTTAAAACATTTTCATGTACTTCGTTCTCACGAGAACATTTCTCCTTGTTGAAGTGATTTATTCGTAGCTGTCTGGTCTACGCTGCTATAAGCTTTTGCTTGGTTAACTGCATGCAAACGACTGCTGAGTGCGACAGAAAGAGCAGCAGCAGTAAAACGAGTTAATGGGATCATTAAAGGTTTGTTTATTTGTAAGTACTAACGTCAGGTACTGTTAGCTAGGTTAAGTAGGTCACATACCAGCAAATTTCAACCTGAGTATTGTTCGGCAGTTCTTTTGCTTCCTCCATAGACTCTAGTGTTCAAATGTACAACTTCGTAAGAGTTTGCAGCTGGTTACATAAACTTTCTTGGTCTCGGTGCTTAAATGTTCCCTTCATAACTCTTTAAAATGAACTAAATCTATGTCTTCCACTAACAATCACTTCCTTCGTGTCACACCTTCAACTATTTTTCCCCCCGTTGTTTTTCACAAACTGTGTAATTGATGGGCTTACCTGAACAGGTGACACTGAGCACAGAGGAAGAGTAAGATGGTTCTACACATTCCCTTAGGGAAGATCTCAGCTTGAAACAATCAGGATTGATCTTCAACACAAATCTGTATGTGGACTTTTTTTTTCCAACAGAAACAGCAGAGCCACAGTCCAGATGTTCACAGAAGACACCTGCTGCCTTCAGAGGCCAGTCAGAGCCAATCACTGGTCTCCATTCTCCCAGGTGTTTCACCTCCAGTGTACCTGCACAGCGACTGGCTCCTCCCACCAACCTGACAGGCTCTGACAGAAAGCAGAGAGTCATCAGTGAGAGAACAAAGTGAGTTTGAGTCAAAGCTGCAGCTCCTCTTCTACCTGAGCAGGTGAGTCCAGCAGCTTTGCCAGGTGAGCAGCTGCTTCTAGCTGAGCCTGAGCTTCTACAGTCCAGGAGAGCAGACTCATGGCCTCCACACTGGAACTCTCTGCTCCACACTGGAGCCTCCGCTTCTCCATAGAGCGCCCCCCGGAGGAGCGAAGGAGGCCCACAGCCAAGCTCCCTGCAGACCACCTCTGCATCCTGCAGGTCAAAGTCAGCTTCACACACTGAGGACCATCTCTGGTTAGACTTCACCTGCAGTCCGCCTGAACACAGACTGGAACCGTTCAGCAGCCTGACAGAGTCTGCAGAGATCAGAGATCCATAATGTTCATGTTTCTTAGACTGTCAGCTAGATAATCTGCACATCTGCAGATTGTAATAAGAAACTCAAAGTAAGAGCAAAGTGTTTTTGTTCTGGTACCCCAAAAGGTCGATTCTGTTCATCTGGATGTAGTGTTCAACCTTTTGGGATTTACTTAGCTGGATGACTGAGCATCAGGACTTTGGAGCAGGAAGATAACAATGAATTAGATTAACAACAAAAACTACAATAACATCCATTCTGTCTTAATTAGATCTGCATTTCTTGGCTAATAATTCAGTTAGTGGAAGAATGGGGTCCGTACCCGCGTGCTGTGCTGAGTACCGCATGGTTTATGGATATCACAACCAACAGCATCAGTTACATGCACAGGAGCCACGCTTACCAGCAGGTACAGAAAAATCCTTGCTGTGAGGTGACAGTGCAATGTGCCACTGCACCTCCACGTTGCACCAGTTTGTGGTGTGTGAATGTACAGTCCCGTTTAAAATCACTTGGAAAATGGCGAAAAAATCATTGGATTTGGATCAGGGGAACACGAGGGATGGTCCAAAAGTGTGATGGAAGAAGTCCTTCAGCATTGTCCTGTTGATAAACCCGGGCGTCACCACACAGACGAGCAGTGTTGGTCACGTTACTTGAAAAAAGTAATCAGTAACTAATTACTGATTACTTCCCCCAAAATGTAATCCCCTTACTTTACTGATTACTTATTTTCAAAGTAATTAGTTACTTTTTAAAAATATGATTTACAACCTGAAGAGGTGATAAAGCGATAGATCTTTCAGCCCAATTCTACTTTTTCTGCATAATCCATCATACAAAATGTAATCAAATGGAAAAGTCTCTTTTTTTAACTTGTTTTATTCGTTTTAACCTTTTAACTTTATGCATCAAGCAAAAATTCTCTGACTGGAAGAAATTAGTTTAACATTTAAACCTATTTTCTGCACATTCCAGCTCATAAAATAAAATATTTTTGTGTTTACACTCAGTCTTTCAAATAGATGCAAGTAAAACACAGCAGAAAATAAATAAAGTCACAGACTCAGCGGTCCTGTTGCTCTATTTTCCCCTCTATTTAGGGGGTTGGGAAGCGTATCTGTAACCGGAAGCTCGCCGGTTCGATCCCCTGGGCTCTCTGTCCTGGTCGTTGTGTCCTTGGGCAAGACACTTTACCCTACTTGCCTACTGGTGTTGGCCAGAGGGGCTGATGGTGCGATATGGCAGCCTCGCTTCTGTCAGTCTGCCCCAGGGCAGCTGTGGCTACAACTTTAGCTGCCTCCACCAGTGTATGAATGTGAGAGTGAATGAATAGTGGCATTGTAAAGCGCTTTGGGTGCCTTGAAAAGTGCTATATAAATCCAATCCATTATTATTATTATTATTATTATTATTATTTTCACCTGTAAAGCAGGAGTGGGGTAGGCGGAGGTTTACCCTGGTGCAGGTGTGCTGCGGTCAGTGGAAGAATCCGCGAGTTTCTCTGTGAGTTTCCCATTACGTCGTAGCTACTCGGTGCTTGTTGGAAGTTTAGGGGTTTTTTTCGCTGTAAAAAGAAGTTTTCTTCCCACGCACAGCGGACACTAATGTTTTTGTCACTTTTTATGGAATCAAACTCAAAGTAAGGTCAGTACTTCCACGCTTTAAACGCTGCACGCTCACACTCTCTCCTGCATTCGATATATGATCCACTGTTGATCTGCACACAGCTGTTGTCACCAACGGCGCACTCGCTTACGTCACTGTCATGAGACACGCTCGCAATAAAATCACGGTTTTAGTAACGCAGTAACGCAGCGCTCCTACGGGAAAGTAACTGTAATCTAATTACCTTTTTTGCAATAGTAATCCCTTACTTTACTCGTTACTTGAAAAAAGTAATCTGATTACAGTAACGCATTACTTGCAACGTGTTACTGCCCATCTCTGCAGACGAGGGCCCTCAGTCATCAGGGATGCTCTGTGCATAGCCACATGGCCAGTGGCGTTTGATGCCCCTGCAGCTCCTGCAGCTCCGTTGTTCCACTGAAGGAAAAAGCACCCCAGACCATGATGGTGCCCCCCCCCCACTGTGGGCGTAGAAAACACCTCAGGTGGGATCTGCTTATCATGCCAGTAACTCTGGAAACCATCAGGGCCATCAATGTTACATTTGCTCTCATTGGACAATAAAACTTTCCTCCACCTTTCAGCGTGCGATGTTTGGTCCAAGCGGTCATTTCTGTGGTGTCCAAGGAGACGAGGCCTTTGAAGGCGTTTTTTGTTTTTTAAGGCCCTTCAGTCTCAGATGTCGTCTGATGGTTGCTGGCTGCAGTCGGCTCCAGTAGCGGCATTGATTTGTGTTGAGAATCGTCCAGTGTCTTTACGGACAGCCAGTTGGATCCTCCGGCTCAGTGCTGGTGACATGTTTGGGGTTTTCCACTGGACTTTTTTGTTCCATAACCTTCAGGATCATTTAAGGAATTCCAAATGACTTTCTTACTGCGTCCCCCCTCAGCTGCGATGGCGCGCTGTGAGAGACCCTGCTTATGCAATTCGACAAACCGATCACGTTCAAAAACAAAACTTTTTTTGCCTTTGCCGTCAGAACGTCATGACAGTGACACCACCTGACAGAAAATGACAATGAATCCACAGTTTTGCACAGATTTGTCTTTTTTCCGGCCTGAACTTTGGATGAGCTGTAAAACAGTCTCAGTTTAAGTTTGTTTTGATTTTAAACTTTTGATCAGGGCTGAAACTCAAAGTATATTTTCATGATTTTCTATAACACAGGCTTCACCTCCGCCAACTGGAATTCCTGAGCTGGACCTCTGGACTGTGTCTATACTGCTGGATGTTTCCTAACAGTAACTAGCTGTTACTTGTGTCTGTGTGATGCTTTTATGTGCTCTGTGAACCTAGTTTGATAACAAAGCTAGCATTAGCTGATAACACTTCAGAAAACCAACAAGACTTAAAGCTAAAGTCCAGAATTAAAAATATTTATATACAGTCTTCTGTCTGGTCAGTAGTGCAGCTTGATGCATTAACTTGGTCTGGACTGCGACTGATTTGGGAACAAGAGAAAATGACAGTGGGTCCTCTAAGCTAGCCAATAATGCTCAAGCTTCTTCTCAAAGGGGTATCCTTCGGACACAGCAATGGTACCACCTATTTACATTAGTCTAGATTGTATATCACCTGACATGGCTGCATATCTATCTTCTAATAACATTTATGAAAGTGATGGCCTTACCTGAACAGGTGAGATCAAGGATAGAGGAGGAGGACCATGATATTGCACACTCCCTCAGAGGAGATCCAGACTGAACACAGTCAGGGTTGATCCTCCAAACAGATCCATATGACTTAAATATCAGTCCTACAGAAACAGCAGAGCCACAGTCCAGATGTTCACAGACAACAGCTGCTGGTTTCATGGTCCAACCATTGTCATCCACTGGTCTCCATTCTCCCAGGTGTTTCACCTCCAGTGTACCTGCACAGCGACTGGCTCCTCCCACCAACCTGACAGGCTCTGACAGAAAGCAGAGAGTCATCAGTGAGAGAACAAAGTGAGTTTGAGTCAAAGCTGCAGCTCCTCTTCTACCTGAGCAGGTGAGTCCAGCAGCTTTGCCAGGTGAGCAGCTGCTTCTAGCTGAGCCTGAGCTTCTACAGTCCAGGAGAGCAGACTCATGGCCTCCACACTGGAACTCTCTGCTCCACACTGGAGCCTCCGCTTCTCCATAGAGCGCCCCCCGGAGGAGCGAAGGAGGCCCACAGCCAAGCTCCCTGCAGACCACCTCTGCATCCTGCAGGTCAAAGTCAGCTTCACACACTGAGGACCATCTCTGGTTAGACTTCACCTGCAGTCCGCCTGAACACAGACTGGAACCGTTCAGCAGCCTGACAGAGTCTGCAGAGATCAGAGACGCAGACACACAAGACAACGATGGCAGCAAACAACTATTCACTCATTCAGACTCACAACTCCAACATGAGTTCATCATTAACAACAGAATGTTATAGCAGCGCACGCTGGGCTCATGTCAGCATCACGTTTAGATTTTGTACGCAGATTTTTGAATAAAGCTTTGATTAGAAAATGTTCCAACGCTATCGAAAGGAGCAGGGCTGAGTACCCAGGGGAAAGAGGCCATGTGACCATGTTTCTCTGGCCTCCTCTCATACACTACACAGCTCTTTCTCCTCTTGAGCTCATGATGAACAGGTTTCTATACAGAAACAGGATTGTGGCAGTCTGCACGTTACAGGTTGAGGCTGATTTAGAATGATACCGATTCACTGACATAAACATGGAGCTACGAACAAGTTTAAGTTTAATAAACTCCTACAGTGATCTTGCATGGACACTTTTTCAAATTCTTTTTGGCCTTTTACTTAGACAGTGAAGAGCAGACAGAGAGAGAGGGAACAACCCCTTTCCCCCATTCATTCAATATATTTTTGGATTTCTTTAACGAAACTTTGCTGTGTCTGGTCTCATCATTCACACCATCTGGGCTCCATAGCACTTTTCCTTCAGTCAGTTAAATTCACCCACTGCAGTAAAACTAGCCCTTAAATAACTTTGTGTTACATGTGGCCTGATGTGTGAATGAATGGGTTTTGTGTTATTTAATTGGGTATTTTCTGTGTTTTGAAAGGTCTGCGACCAGAAAAACAGGAAGTTTATTAAGAAAAGTGGTGTCAATGTTGCACATCCTGTCATTGTTTCAAAAGATTTCACCTGGCTGTGAAAAATGAAAAAAAATAACAAGCTAAAAAGACCAAGTCAAACAGTAAAAACTGGAAACCAGCAGCTCAGAAACCCATCAAGCTGAAGAGGGAGCACCGACATGCTGGTTGGTGATTGGTCCAGAGAACTCCTGAAGTCCTGCTGGACAAAGTCGCTGCACTTACCTAAACAGGTGAGATTGAGCATGGTGGTAGAGGGTAACAGTCGTAAACAGTCCCCCAACTTAGATCCGGACTGAAAGCAGTCAGGTCTGAACGACCATACGAGTCTCCGTGGGGACTTTCTCTCTTGTACAGAAACAGCAGAGCCACAGTCCAGATGTTCACAGACCACAGCTGCTTTCTTCAGGGTCCAGTTATAGAAGTCTACTGGTGTCCATTCTCTCACGTGCTTTATCTCCAGTGTACCTCCACAGTGACTGGCTTTTCCCACCAACCTGACTTCATCAGGCTCTGAACAGGAAGCAGAGTAAAGAAGAAGGTCAAACGTTGCTGCTGATTCTGCGTTTGTGATTATTTAATTCTCTTTGACTCCGTTTACCTGCTGAACTCTGATTTCTCTCACTGATTCCTGAGGAGAAAATCAGAGAAGAGCCATTGATAAAAGTAATGCGTTACTGTAATCCGATTACTTTTTTGAAGTAATGAGCAATGTAAGGGATTACTATTGCAAACAAGTAATTAGATTACTGTTACTTTCGCATAAGCACGCTGCGTTACTGCGTTACTAAACCGTGATCAACAATGGATAATATGGAGCGATGGAGAGAGTATATGGAATCAGAACGATGCCACCTTGAAACGAAACCGAAAAATGGATTGAAACCGAAAAAAAATATTGTAACTGAAATAAATGTACTGAAAAATCTTGTATTGAAACCGAAAAAAAATTTGATAGTGAAAAACAATTAATTGAAACTGTAATTTTTTTGTTTTCGCTTACAATTTTTTTTTGTTTTCGGTTTCAATCCACTTTTCGGTTTCACTCTGCTGGCACTGTTTTGGCGTACGGGGGCGCGCTGGGGGGCGGGGATTCCGACCCGCATGTATTTGCATATATTATAATGCTGACCAATGACTGGAGAAAACACTGACGACGCGGCTGCGGTCACGGACAAACTCGCACGTGTCTGTTCGGGAATGGCAGATGCTGAGAGGTCCAGCGTTTACATTACCGACTATTTCAAAGTGACAGCCTGAGGTGTTCTTCAGTAAATTGGACTACCGGACAGGAGGACCTGAGGCCCCACCGCATTATTTTTGGTAAGTTAAATGTGTTTGTAAGCTAATCCGTAATTTAGGTCCTTAGCTAGCTACCTAAGGACCTAGCTAGCTAAAATGAGCACTCGGCTGTCGGGGAAACATGTTTTGTAAAGTTCGTTTAGCTAACCCGTGCAGGTGAATGAATTTACCCTGACTAAAGAAATCAAGAGAAACGCACCGGGCTGCTCAGTGACTAACCACGGTTACTGTACTTTTATTATGAGTATTATATTGTAAGAGCAACGGGCTGGACTCTGCTTCTGCTCCTGTGCAGAGCTGATTATTAAATATGTGCAAACAGCAGCATGTTTTCTGTCGCTTTCCACATGTGGAAGGACATTAACGCCAACTTTTAAATTCCCCTCATTAGTCAATAGCTACGGATTAAATAGCAAAGCCCGATACTTATGTACTGAAACCAACTACTTCCGCTTGTCAGCTTAAGTTAAAATGTTACATTTTTCCCCTGATTTTTTTTTTTACTGTTTGTTACAAATATTCAGGTTAAAAAACTGTCCAAATTATTTTTAATGAATTATGTTCACAAAGTCACATGTGCAGTACTCTGTACAGCTTGCATCCTTTGCAACGTTAATATTTCTTGTTCAATACTGAGCTGATAACACCTCTGTATGTTGTGACCAGGATGCAGCAGCAGACTGAACCTCGACTGAAACCTGCTCCATCATCTCATCTTTGCAGATGTCCATTTATAAAGCATCAACAACTCAAAGGTAAACATGATATTAGAAAATGTGTTAGTAAAGCCTTTAAAACAAATAAAAAAAATAAACAGCTGTTGGCAGAACTATAGGACTGAACAACTTCAGATCCCGAGTGTGTGAGGACGGAGAAGGATCAGCTGTATTTCAGATTTGAGATAAACTTTATATTTCAGTTTGTGATGATTCTGTTTGTGATTACAGGAGCTGTCCTCAGATTCAGACTTCAGCACCACCCAGTGACAGCACACAGATCATCCTATATCTTCAATCTTTGTAGTAACTCCAAAATTAACTGAAGAAAACAGTACAAAGGTTAAAGTACCACATGTGCTGTCAGTGAACGCTGCAGCTGTTTTATTGATAAATTTAAAGACAAAAAGTCAAAAGGATTAATCACCCCTGTAACTGTGTCACTATACATCAGCATTAACAGGACCTCAGTTTGGTGTTTCAGAAAGCTGCTGATCTCAGACCTGCACAGCTTCTGTTTTAAACACTGAATGTACTCAGCTACATGAAGAGCACATGATGTTTTCTCTGACACAATTAACTAAAACCTGATTAAACTCAAAGGTTGTTACTTGTATTTGAACTAAAAACTTGTGATCTGGAATTCTTTCACTGTTTTTGACAATAGTGTGTTATTTATCATAAAGTAATTCAGAGTCATTCATACCAGAGTAACCAGAGAGCACAACATATATTTAACTTTCTACAGGACTTAAAGCTATTACTATAGCTTATAGCTATTACTTACCTGCACTACTGTATAGTTCTGTGTAAATAATCATTCTGTACATATGATGATTTTTAATCCTACAACTGTTTATAATTTGCATAGTTCACATTTCTGTATAACTATATCTCAGATTTCTGTAGTTTCTCATATTTATATCCTGTACATAGCTTGTACTCACTACAGCCTGTACATACTTATAGTTATAGAATATTCACAACATACTTCATACCGTGTACATTATAACATACCATAATAGACCCATTTCTGTAATATACTTACATATCTATACTATTGCTAATATATATTGTAATATATCTATATCATGGCTAAAGCACTTCTGGATGGATGCAAACTGCATTTCGTTGCCCTGTACCTGTGCAATGACAACAAAGTTGAATTCTATTCTATTATGTAAAAGTCCAGACCCTCTGAGGATTATCTGAGTACTTCTAACATTACACAAAACAAAGGTCTCCATCAGTGTTCATGAAATGCTGGGTTTATCCTTCTTGTGAGGGAGCTGCTGGTGAAGATCACGAGCCCTGCTTGATCCCGGCGATGAGTTTCAGTCTTCCTGGTGTTTCTGAAATGATGCCTCTCACTGCGGGTCAACAGAACTTCTGGCACAGGACAGCTGTGATGAAAGAAATTGAAGTTTTGGAAATGACCTATATGTGAGAAGCAGATTTTGTATTTACTTTTCTTTTGCCAATCAAGATAAAGTATAATTTTCACCATACAATTACTAACCTTGTCATCTCCTGCACTGTCTGTTTTGGGCTCTGGGCTCCTCCTTCCCAGCGCTCATGAGACTGATGCACTGTGGTATGAGGTGCTAACCTGTTGACAGTGTTGGGAAGGTTAATTTTAAAATGTATTCCACCAAAGATTATAGATTAATGTATTCTGAATACTTTACAACTACATGAATGTACTACTGCTGTGTGATTTATTACTATTACTGAAGGCTACTCGCCACACCAACACCAACTAGATGTTTAAATCTTAATATAAATGAGTAACAGTAGGTGGACATTAGGTAAGGCTGCACTTTTTGCAGTGATCTCGTGTAGAAAACTATTCAGCGCGTATATAAAACAGGTCCGCGGCTCCGAGCCGTAGTAAAGGACCTCTGACTGATACGTCCGGTTCGTGTCGGGCTCGAAACTAGCTTTACTCTGTTGTCTGGGTCAAGTTTGCTAGCGAGAGACAGAGAGGCGTTGAAAGGCTGCTTATTGTTTCAGAGGAAAACACGAACACGGTGTACAGTGGAGTCTTAACAGCTTACTTACAGCTGGGTTCGTCAGGCTCTCTTTTTGGCTTTAGTGGTTATTATTATATTTACATGCTTCCAGCTCCCGTTTCTGCTCCGTGACAGCTCCTTTCTCTCCCTCCTCGCCCACAGACACATAACGGGTATGGCAGTCCATTCTCCCTGCAGCACGGACTACACTGCCCATGAGGCTACATTGTTTAGGGCGATGCCTGTAACACTCTGCTATTGCCTTCATATTAAATAATTTTTGTATAATAATTTTTAGAGGCTCTTATTGTGTGTTTTGTTTGGGGTTCCACCGGCGTGGAATTACCAAAAAATAGAGAGACCATAGCCTAACATATGAAACAGGAAAACACCGCCATGTAATCCATTTATTTCAACAAAGTAACTGTATTCTCAATATCACCTATTGAACAGTAATTGTAACGGATACATTTACTCATATTTTGTATTTTAAATACGTAACGCCGGTGCATGTATTATGTTACTGCCCAACACTGCCTGTTGAGATCCTGAGATCCGCTCCTAGAACACCGGCCTCCAACTCCTGAAGACACACGGGTGTCCCTAAATTTAGCAAATATTAGCTTCAGGCTAGCTTGCTACGACGAATAGGCTAATACCAGCATTTTACCACAACTTCACCAGATGTAGCTAAAAAAACTAAACTAATGTCCAGCCCAGTGGGACAGCAAGAAAAGATGACAAAAAATGATTACTTACTTGCGTTTTGGAGGTTCAAGCTGAAATTGAAGCAGCCATTGAAAGACGGGAAGAGAGAAAGATGGCAGCTTGGTCAGCACTAGTGGCATAGGGCCACTAGTGCAATATATGCAAATACATGCGGGCCGGAAACCCCGCCCCAGCGCGCCCCCCCCAGCGCGCCCCGGACGCCAAAACAGTGCCAGCAGAGTGAAACTGAAAAATGGTTTGAAACCGAAAAATGGATTGAAACCGAAAAAAAAAAAATTGTAAGCGAAAACAAAAAAATTACAGTTTCAATTAATTGTTTTTCACTATCAATTTTTTTTTCGGTTTCAATACAAGATTTTTTACGGAGCCCCCCAGGGGACATGGGAGAAAAAAAAATTACGGAGGAAAAAAAAAAAATTAGGGAGAAAAAAAAAAATTAAGACGGACTTTTGCGAGATCTCGCAATAAGTATTGCGAGCGCTCGCAAAAGTATTGCGAGATCTCGCAATAAGTATTGCGAGCGCTCGCAAAAGTATTGCGAGATCTCGCAAAACTCCAACAATGGCGGCAGCTACTTAGTTGTAATATTACTCTTTCTGGGTCACAAAATACACTTTTAAGATATTTTGAGGCGTGAATGTAGTTGTGTAAACGTCAGATACCTGCTCGGTTTACAAGACATCACATATTTGCAAAAGAGCTCCGACGTTTTTGGAGATCTGACACCCACTAGCTCGAAGCTAACGGGCGGTCGAGACCTACTACAGCCGGGAGGAACACCGCTTTCCCGCACATCGTGCCTCGACCTCCCGGTCGGCTTCGAGCTGGCGGCCACTAGCTCGAAGCTAACGGGAAGTCGAGACCTACTACAGCCGGGAGGAACACTGCTTTCCCGGCACATCGTGCCTCGACCTCCCGGTCGGCTTCGAGCTGGCGGCCACTAGCTCGAAGCTAACGGGAAGTCGAGACCTACTACAGCCGGGAGGAACACTGCTTTCCCGGCACATCGTGCCTCGACCTCCCGGTCGGCTTCGAGCTGGCGGCCTCCGAAGAATGCGGCTAAAACTTTTGCGAGATCTCGCAATACTTTTGCGAGCGCTCGCAATACTTATTGCGAGATCTCGCAATACTTTTGCGAGCGCTCGCAATACTTTTGCGAGCGCTCGCAATACTTTTGCGAGATCTCGCAAAAGTCCGTCTTAATTTTTTTTTTCTCCCTAATTTTTTTTTTTTCCTCCCTAATTTTTTTTTTTCTCCCATGTCCCCTGGGGGGCTCCGTAATTTTTCAGTACATTTATTTCAGTTACAATATTTTTTTTCGGTTTCAATCCATTTTTCGGTTTCGTTTCAAGGTGGCATCGTTCTGATTCCATAAGAGTACGGCTGTGCAGCGTTTAAAGCTTGGAAGTACTCACATTACTTTGAGTTTGACCCTGTAAAAGTGACACAAACATTAGCGTCCGCTGTTCCCTGCGTGGGAAGAAAACTTCTTTTTACAGCGAAAACCCCCTAAACATCCGAGCAAGCACCGAGTAGCTGCCAGGGAGAAGGATCCAGCTTCTATGCAAGGGGAGGGAGGGTCTAACAAATGCTGTGCCTTTAAAGTTATGTTTTTATTATACTTGTTATACATTCCAGCCACCCATGTCTATGAACTATATAAGAAAAATGTGGAAACTTCTTCACAAATAAAATTTTAACCGTTAGACAAAAAAGGTCTCATAAATCATCTCACGTAATCAACGAGAGCGTGATGTAGACACAGTCTGCAGCTCTCGCTGAAACCTCCGGCACATTCTCACTCACAGAAACACATCTTTGGCAGTGATGCACAAGCTAACCACACAAGGTAAACACGCCCACAGCACAGAAAGGAAGTGTCATGAGACGTTCTCACACCTCGAGTTTTTTCTTACATTTAGTTTGGTGCTCCTCACATACTTAAATAATCAGGCCCCATCTGATCTCAATGACCTTGTAGTACCATATCACCCTATTAGAGCACTTCGCTCTCGCTCTGCAGGCCTACTTGTTGTTCCTAGAGTATTTAAAAGTAGAATGGGAGGCAGAGCCTTCAGTTTTCAGGCCCCTCTTCTGTGGAACCAGCTTCCAGTTTGGATTCAGGAGACAGACACTATCTCTACTTTCAAGATTAGGCTTCAAACTTTCCTTTTTGCTAAAGCATATAGTTAGGGCTGGACCAGGTGACCCTGAATCCTCCCTTAGTTATGCTGCAATAGACGTAGGCTGCCGGGGATTCCCATGATGCATTGAGTTTTTCCTTTCCAGTCACCTTTCTCACTCACTATGTGTTAACAGACCTCTTGTAACAGCAGTCTGGCGAGGAAGGAGCGACTAGCAGGTCCAGCAAGCGTGTGGTGTGGGGGTTAGCTGAATAACCCGAAGCCAGTCGGTTAAATCAAACAACAGACCTTTATTCATTATCAGCAACATAAGACCATACAAGCCAGATCTCCACGGCTCTACTCTGTCCGTACATACATGTGCGGGGTTCGGCGCCAGGCCGTTACAACAGTAAGGTGTTTCCTCAGAGACTGGAACATGAGCAGCATGGAATGGCTGCCGCTAACAACACCACATCCACTAGGAGACTCCAACAACTACTACAATAGTAGGGCAACCCCCCCTAGTGGTGCTATAACCCAAAAGGGTTGTTACGCTCTCTGCACTGAATCATATCTGTTATTAACCTCTGTCTCTCTTCCACAGCATGTCTTTATCCTGTCTTCCTTCTCTCACCCCAACCGGTCGCAGCAGATGGCCCCGCCCCTCCCTGAGCCTGGTTCTGCCGGAGGTTTCTTCCTGTTAAAAGGGAGTTTTTCCTTCCCACTGTTGCCAAAGTGCTGCTCATAGGGGGTGATGTGATTGCTGGGTTTCTCTGTGTGTGTTATTGTAAGGTTGACCTTACAATATGAAGCGCCTTGAGGCGACTGTTGTTGTGATTTAGAGCTGTATAAATAAACTTGAATCTTTTCTGTGTCCGCTCCGTTCATCTTAGCATTTGTGTTTTCACTTCGTGTTTTTGTTGAATAGTGAGGCAGCACGTAGACTGGAGAGACTTGAGTTCAGTGACGTAAACACTGGTCTTTTATTTGAGTGGGAGTATCCTGTCAGAGTGTGTGCAGGATTTCAAACTACTGTGTGGTTTCGAGCTTGAAGAATTAAAAGTTGATGATGTGTTGACTGTTTTAAACTTGGGCGTTTTCTCTTTTTCTTTCCTTCGATGTGATTTTCATTTACGCTCTAAATAAAGCTCACAGCCCATCTTTTAACAGATTTAACTCAACATCTTCCATCCATCCATACTCTGTCATTTATCCAGTTCAGGGTCAATGCGGGGGTGGAGCCTATCCCAGCTACCATAGGGCAAGAGGCGGGGTACATCCTGGACAGGTCACCAGCCTGGCGCAGGGCTAACACAGAGAGACAGACAACTGTTCGCACTCACATTCACACCGATGGGCAATTTAGAATCACCCATTAACCTAACCCCACTAACTGCATGTCTGTGGACTGTGGGAGGAAGGGAGGGAACCCACGCAGCACTGTGCATCTTCTTTATGTGGGTTGTCCAGAATAGCTCAGGATAACAACTACCTCTAAACCTGGACGTTAACATATGCATTCACATTTTTCTCAAAGCATTAAAGAGGAAGCTTTAATCAGTAAATCTAAATATTTACTGCATCTCGTGTTGTTAAAGCCGAGTCCTACCTGAGCTCCACAGCAGCAGCAGCAGCAACAGGTGATCCATGTCCAGGCCAACGTGTCTTTGATCTGATCGTCACATGTGCCGTGCTCGCCGTATATCTGCAACAGGAAGAGGGGGAGCTTCACTCCTCTCTCTCTATGTTAGACAATTGTGGATTAATATGGTTGTCATTGTGCAGGGAGGCCAAGATGAGCAGATTTGTTTTCAGCTTTTAGTCGTTTTCCATTGCAAGCGTTTGGCTTTTAGATTTAGCACGAAAACCTTTGTTTTTACACCTGGTTGGTTGAAAGGTTGCGCCATGTATGGTGTAGCAGGAAATGTCACACACACACACACGTACACACACACTTACATGTGAGTGCATGAACTGTCATATGACTAATGAGATGTATGTGTAACTGCTGTGAGGGGAGGCTTGAGTACAGAGTTGGCTGAGATCAGAGCTTACGAATCGAAGACCCTGTCCGGGCTCCCCTTGCAAGTAAAAACTTGAAGCGCTTTGTGTTTTGCTTTGTTCACAGTCGGACGGTCTCAGAGTCAGCAGCGTCTCTGTAAGACCCCACACTCTATTTGGCAGTTTTGGTTACGCAGAGAACCATCTTTCAGTTTAAAAACTATATTTCTATCTGTAAGCTCGGTTATTTCTGCCTCGGTGTCAAATACGAACATCTGAGGGACTCATCATCTGTTAGCCTGAGTGAAAATCCAGCTCTGTTGAAGTGCCACGGACACCCAGAGAAACTGTGTCAACGGCGGTTTTATTCCATATTCATCCAGCCTGTTTTAAGCGTGGACACTGAAGCCTGCAGAGGCTTTGATGGTGCCCTCATCTCTGAGCACTGGTCACCTGATCCTGGGGTAAATTTGCTGGGACGTCCACTGCAGAGAAGATTCACAGTCATCTTGAATGTTTTCCTCTTGTTAATTCGTGTTAGTTTCTCAGACAGGGCTTGGGGTGGTTGCCTCTTGCTTTCGGGATTGGTGGGGGTCTGAAAGTGAGAGACTAGTTGAGGCTGGTTATCTTGCACCTTTGGGGTCACCTGTGGCATCTGGGTTGTGTTGGTCAGTGCCCTGCTTGGGATTCGGGTTGGTTCGTTGTGCCTTGGCTTCTGCGGTGTGCCGGGCCCTTCTCTCTGGGTGCCCTTACTATGTCTGTGGGACTGGGACGTGCTGACTGGCTCTCGGTGGGGGCTTTGGACACTGGCGCAGACTTTCATGCATGTTTATCACACGGCACCCTGGTGCTCAGCTTCATGGTCTTTGCTACATGTCATTACCAGATGTGCAGCAGATGTGGGCGTCTGTCAGTGAGGTATAACCTGCGTCCTGCAGGT